ACTTCATCGCATTTCTCAACTTTTTGTTTTATGGAGTTAATCAATGTGTGCACTCACAATGTGAGCGGCTCATATGTCGATCAATATACAATTCCTGAAGGCTTTGATGCGAGAGACGAAAGTATCAGGACGTCGCGCAACACTTTAAAACGTTCTAATAATCGAGAAACGCATATTTAACCGCAATAAAGGCAAGAAAAGTATCTTGGGAACTTCTGTGCTAAGATGAAGGCAAGACGAGGTCTCTGACAGAAAGTTTAGTTGGCATGAAATATGCACAACAAATGACCCTGCGGTCGATAAGTTTCAAAAATCACGAATTTAGGGGACTTCTCGAGTTTTACTTCGATTTGTTCATAATCATTCTATTGAAATCACGTATGGAGTATGCTAGTTCGTATAATTCTCAATATAGAGTGCAACGGAAATCAATATAAATGTCGGCAATGTGGCGCGGCAATTTGCATTACCACTAGATTACTCTGAGTGGAGATCGGAAATCGTTTCCGATGGTACACCAATTGGAAGAACTCCTTTTTATCGACGTTGATTAAATTTCTCGCCTACTTTCGCGTCACCTTAACCGTCGACTTCTGAACAGTTGATTCGGGAAGGTACTTATTGCTCGCGAGAAAGTACCTGCACTTCGCGCAATTGCAGCTCGGCTTGCACGCAAGGCTGCACGCGAAAAGTTGCGAGCTTGCCGGCTCGTGAGGGGATAATTTTATCTCCCGCGATAAGGGCCTCGGCTGGTCGAGCGCTTTATAAATTATAATACGCTCGATAAATCATCATCAACATCAACGTCGCTCGGGACGTTCGAGAGCAGGGTAGGAGGGTGGTCGCGACCTCGATGAGGGATCGATACCTTGCGAAAGGGCAGGAGTGCCGCCATCGGCTCTTCGCCTGGGTGAAAATTGTCCCTCAAATCCCCCAAATTTGGATCGAACCTGTAGGAGTGCCAAAAGGATCGTCCATTTCTCCGGAAAATCAATAACGGACCAGCGAATCTTGCCCAAACCTCGAGTAATTACCCTAACGAGCGTGTCGTTCGTCGTACAATTGTGGCATCGAAAATGGGATCAGCGAGCATTGACTCTTTGATCAAAGCAAACCCTTTTGAGCATTTTTTCTATACGGATTTAACTTACAAACTGAATAGAAAGCACTTTAAATAAATAGTATTAATTTAGAATTAGTGATTTATTGTATACTAGCCGATGTACTGCCGCAGTTCACGCTAGGACGAGAAGAGTCCATTGCCCGAATTTCATGTTGCCGACTCGTGCGATTTCGCGGTTACGAGTACCCATTCTACCACCCCAGTTATTACCCCTTCAAAAAGCGAAGATAGAAGGTTCGTCCGATATAAATGCAATAAATTTCAGTCGAAAGTATTTCCGCCAAATTTTATTCTTTTAGATCCACCCGTTTTCGACAAAGCTCAAAATTTCAACCCCCTAATCACCCTCTTAGGGGCTTGAAAACTCCCTTCTAACTGGGTGCGTACGAACAGGGTACGCACAAAAAGGTTCACTTCTGGACCCACCTTAGACCATTCCCAAAATGTCAACTTTCCAGGCCAAGGAATTTGAACTCGATTATCTCCGTATCAGTGAGTCAGTTATTTTATGTGTCGAGAGTATTTGTACGAGCATTTTTCAAATATCTCGTAAATCAAGGTTGAGATTCGACGGTTTTCAGAGGTTCACTTAGCAGGGTCTTCCTCGCGGCGCGTTGGCCTAGGTCAGGGTCGCGGGGCAAGGTCAGTCACGCGAGGGTCCGAAGGTCAGCCGGAAGAAGGGCAGGAGAACCCGGTGGATTGGGGGTCGGGGGGTAGCCGCGATTCCGTTGGCGCCGGGCGTCGACCAATCGGGGCGCGGGACCGTCCCCTCGTGCCGGCAGGGTGGTTCCCGGTTTTACGGCAAGTAAAACGGGAAATTTCGTAGCCACCGGTTTACGACGTCCTCCTCGCCCTTCCTTCCAACCCCCTCGGCTCGACACACGTACAGGATGGGCGGGTTGAAAGCAAAATGTTTGTTCTAGTACACCCCAGCCCATTACGGAATTGCCGCTACACGTGCATACGTGCGTTATGACCAATGGGGTTCGACCTCGCGAATTACGACCGGCCGTCTAATTACTTCGGTATCTTCCTTACTCTTACTTTAATGGGTTACCTGTTCTCGTATGGGGCCCGAGAAATAACGGACGGGACTTTTCCATCCACCTTTCAAACGCGGTTTTCGGGGGGAAAAAAATCGGAATTTCGGGAAAAAATTCGGCATTTGATCAAATTAAAAATTGCTGTATTCGCCGTTTTCTTAGTTCCTCCTCGTCATAATGAATTTCCAATTTGACGATATTTTCTAAATAATTAGATATGAAGGGTGGGTTTTAATTTAATACTTCTTTTCTTTGGCTCGTCTTGTTTAAGAGCGATGGTGCTCCTTTTCTGTGAATTACTGACTGAAAAATTCGGCATTTGATCAAATTGAAAATCGCTGGTTTTGCCGTTTTCTTAGTTTTTCCTCGTCGTAATGAATTTCCAATTTGACGATATTTTCTAAATAATTAGATATGAAGGGTGGGTTTTAATTTAATACTTCTTTTCTTTGGCTCGTCTTGTTTAAGAGCGATGGTGCTCCTTTTCTGTGAATTACTGACAACCGATGCAGGCTTATTTGTATTTATTTTCTTGTACAACGTCGAGTTGCCTCCGAGCCTTTCTCGAAACTCGCATACCGTTTCCTCCGTTATTTAACTTGTAGCTTCAAGAGCGGGCTTGATGTTCGGCAAGTCTCGGAAGTTCCGAAACTTTTCCGAAAGTTTCACCCCCTGCTACGTCCCCGTTCGGCTGCATTTAGATTTCTGCATACAAGCGCAGTGTTAATGTTTTGGAGCGTGGAAATGTATGTTATATAAATCAGCGTAACAAAGCAACCGACTTTCTGTAGTACTCTTGAATCACGAATAGGTTATTAAATTTATTCCAAAAGTTTTTTCATTATTATGAACTCATTGCCGAAGATGAATTTTGATCCATCATACGTTCGTGTTCTTATTCCCGATATCCACGCATCAAAATGTTTGGTTGAATCAATAATGTTTCTATTGTGTCAACTGTAGAACAATTGTATTACATGAACCATAAAATATTTAGCCGACATGATAAAATCCTTTGTTAATAACTCTTGGTTTATTACGCCAAATATTCTGGCTCACCCGAAATATGTATTAATTTGGTTGATTTAACCAAAGTATTTTTTAAAATCAACAGAACGATTTTAACTAAACCCTTTGAATGAAAAAAATGAATTTGATCAAGTGAACTGAAGTTTGAATTACTCGCCCAGTATTTTTTAAATCAACCAAATGCAGTCGATCGAACGATTTTGTTCAATGAAACACTTTTTTTCTGCGTGTAAGGAAAGTTCAACTAGGATGTAGATGCGTTACGGGGCATCTCGATAAAATATCATAAGGATCTGCCGTAACAAAATGAAGGCAAAATCGGTATCACGTGCGATCGAATCGGTGGTCTGAAATCTGATGAATGACCGACACGATATCAAGCTCTCACTCGGCGCTTCGAGTTGCCAATTTATTACCGTATCTCCCTCGAAACTTGGTTGCCGTTTCCCCTGTTATTTAAGACGAAGCTCCCAGAGCGGGGTTTCGGCTCTGGAAGTTGCCGAAGTTCCAAAAGTTTGCGAGTCGGGTTCCTGCAACACGCCGCCATTGATAATTTCTGGATACTTAACAGATGTACCCTGAATTGCAAATGCGCGGAGCGTTGAAATCAACATATCACGGTTTGGCAGATTGCCGAAAGTGGTGGAAACTGCGAAGGTGCTTTTTTTTTTCAGCGCGCAAAAATTAAATCAGGGAAATTTCTTGGCGCCTTAAAACAGTACCTCGCAATGGATAATGCATTTTTATTCTGGGCATTCCTTGGCGCATTAAAAGAACATTACATTTCGTGTAATGTATTTTTATACTGACCTGAATAAAAATTGGGCAAGATATTCTAGTGTCTACTGATAGTGCAGGTAATAGGGAGATCTGCTTACCAGAAATTGCCCAAATCGTAATCGTGACGTCATGTATACAATTGATTCACGCAGATTTGACCTAATATCAGAAATTTAATAATAGTAAATTTCCCGTCATGTAAGCCTTTCCTTGGCTTGAAATTAAAATTGGGTTGCAGGGGGTCAATCGTAGGCCATGATTAGGTTAAGGTCACATCATGCGTTTTTGCCGGACCTGCTAAAACGCATGCGGTTTGATCGGATAGCCTCAAATGTGTCACCCTCTTCCGATTAAGGTGAAGTGAAACCCCCTTCAAATCAGTCGATTCGGATACAACACTTTTTTTTAAGGGTATTAAACCAAACTGTCCGAAATTTTGACACATCGCTCCAGATCATCTAAGAATTGTCCTGACACATTCAAAATTTGGATTTTTTTTTTAATTTTTTAACTCAACCCAGACCAGAAACAAAATGGCATCGATCTCTCATATTTCGATCAATATACAATTATCGAAGGCTCTGATATGAGAATCTAAAGGGCCCCAGAAAGCACGAATCCAGAGGATTTCTGGAGTTTCGTTTCGATTTCTTTATAATTATTGTACGAAAACGACATGTGGAGTATGCCATTTGGTACAGTACCCAATATAATTCGACCCAGCTGTCAATATACAAACGAACGTTGGCAACTTAGGCATTTAGAAAAATCTTCTTTATCGACGTCTATCAAGTTCCTCGACGTGTTTCACTTCACCTTAAGATGCATCGAACCCATCGGTCTCCCTCGAGCTGTCATTCGATTCTGCGTACCAGGATGCGGCAGCGTGCGGTAGACGCGGCCAAAACCCAGTAGCGTGTCACGTTCCATTTAGATACAACAGGCCTTGACCACCCCTTTGGTCAACCCGAGCGTTTTCGTCGGTTCTCCAGCGCATGTTGTGACTAGCTTTATGTTTCTTCCAGTTACGCAGCTTGCTGCGACTTCCTGCAGAACAACAACCTGCTGAGCATCATTAGGGCGCACGAGGCGCAGGACGCCGGTTATCGTATGTATCGCAAATCGCTGACGACGGGCTTCCCATCGCTCATCACAATTTTCAGCGCGCCCAACTACCTCGACGTGTATAACAACAAGGTAAAAAAGAAAAACCGCCGCGATATTTTAATAAGGCGACAACGCGTGGCGGAAGAATGGTCGCTGTGGGACCAAAGTGCCACTCGACGCCGCTTTATAAGTAAATGTTTATTATTAAATCTAATTGAGATCATTTGGTCACTTTAGTCGTTTCAAACGACAAATGATTCGATTAATGGTGGAAGGTAGAGAAGTTTAATTACGATAAGCACGTAACAACTAAATTGAGCCGACAAACGTTCGCGTGCATTTTTAGACCGCTCTTAGGTTGCGAGAGCAACGTGACGAATATCAGTAAATTATAGTACTCCGTTATTAAATTGAATTGAGAGGGTCGATTTGGTGATTTTTTTTCCCCCTGGGTAATGGTAAAACGCAGAGGGATGTAATTATATTCGACATGGACAATGCAGCTATGTCGTTCCGAGAAATATCTGTGTACGTGAACTTTCAGGCGGCCGTTCTGAAGTACGAGAACAACGTGATGAACATCAGGCAGTTCAATTGTTCACCCCATCCGTACTGGTTGCCGAACTTTATGGACGTTTTCACGTGGTCGCTTCCATTCGTAGGGGAGAAAGGTGAGGAAATGGGTGGGAATAATTTGACGACCGTTTGGTAATACAGTTTCGGGGTAATAACAATTATTTCGGTGCTTTCAGTTACGGAGATGCTGGTCAACGTGCTCAACATTTGCTCGGACGACGAGCTCATGAGCGACGGCGACGACACCCTCGAGGAAGGTAGTCAGCTGTCGTTTGTCTTATTCCGGACATGTTAATGGACACCCTTGTCTCGCAGCTGCATCCTGGGGTATTTCACGCACCGGTCGCCTTCCAGGTCGTCGGGGTCCGGCAGTTCCCCCCAGACATCTCGCCGAGTCTCCCCGGAGAGGCGTCTCTTTCCGGGACACTTGGGGCGAGATTTGCAAGAACTCCCGGCCCTAGACCTTGAAAGAGCCCGCGTTAAGTATCCCGGGGGGAGAATGGGCGAAAATTTCCAACTACCTCCCATTGGGAATAATTAAGCCCCGAAACCCCGAGCAACGAGGCAATTTATTCGCCTTTCGTGTCCCACTCCGGGCGATAAATCATAAAGTAGGTATTCGGCGTCCGCGGAGTTCCAGGGCTCGGAGGGTCTTAATTCCTTATGTCATTAGCCGAGATCATCGGACAATGAGAGGAGCGAAAATACCTCGCGCCGGTAGCTCTGGATAAAAAAAGATTTTCATTGAAACGCGCTCGGAGTGTCCTATCGGGCATGTATACGGGGCGCGACTCTGTGTTGGAAATTTCCGCCCTACTTGGAATGATCGATACCGCGAGTCGAATTACACCCGGAGAGAATCATTTCTACCGACTGCGAACATCCCAATTTTCCATACATTTCGTCCCGGTTTACCCGCGTGATCGATCATACGCGGTGTATGCCTCGTTATTACGGAAGAGTAACCAGCTCCATTTTCGACATTCCTTGAAAGGCCGAGCCACTTTGCGCGCGTACACTCGGTAAGATAATCGATTAGGAATTTTTCATCTATTGCGGAGGTTTCTCTCGTTAAATTCCCATGTACCTTGTAATCCCGAGGCTTGGGAAAAGTACATGCACGAGGCATCTCCGCAACGATGCCGATGCAGAAATAATGCAAGGCTGATTTTCGAGGAGCTGCAAAATGAACTCGAGTACCGTGACAATGGTAACGTCAAGCGTGTAATTTTACTCCGACCGAGAGACTGATATTTCTGAGGAATGAAAAATATTTTTTCATTAATATCGATATCTTTCCTGCCGATTGAGATTTTCTTCTTGGCCTTTCTTCACTTTTACGATTAAATCATGTGAAGCTCGTTATTCTTCCATTTCTTGTATTGTTACAGACAATGTAGGTTTAAGGACTTTCAGATACCCTCCAAGGCAGACTCTTAATTATAAACTCGCATTTGATTATGTATCGAGATATATATCTCAAGATATACATATATGTATGTACATGTATATACTCCCGAGTCCCTTTCGTTCTACCACATTTCCCCTTTGGTAAATGTTTCTCTTTAAAAACCCATATTTTCTTCCCTTTTCGGCGGCTTGGACAGATGGTAAGAAGCACCAGTCGACATTTATCCATCACCCGTTACTATTAAGGGCTTTCATTATCATTGATTTAAGCTACATAGATAGCCTCGGTGTACCGAGTTTTCACTTATGATGGTACATTTACGCGGTCACGGGTGCACGTATGCCGTGTGATGATTTTTTTCGCCATTTATTCAATATTCTGATGCTGCAAATATGCATAAACGGAGACTGAAGAGATTATATAAAAAAATATTATTTCTAAATTGTGTTTATTTTGACATTCAGAAAAAAGGGATTTTAATACGTGCATTTTTTTTCTGGCCGAGTTATAATTTTTATTTATAATGTAATTTCACCATTTTCCATTTGACTGTCATTTATGAGTCGTTATTACGGTGCGTTATTTTTATTTTTTATGATTTTGTCCCCGGTACGTCATTACAAGATATTCTACATGTACCGTGATCCGTTCTTTTGAGGGATTAATGAGGTTTCGCGGAAATGGGACAAGAATATTTTGGCACACGGTGTACGTGCACAGGCGTAATGTACGACAGTACCCGCTCGTACGTGTACATATGCATTTTATCCCCTTTCATCAGATGCATTTCGAGTACGAGAACCGAATTGCGATTTCCCGCTCCCCTCCGCACTTCTATCTCGAATGTCTTTTCTCTCTTCGAATTTACATTCCCACATAAGATTGGTATTATCACGCATTTATTGAACGAGATTACGCGCATATGCGGCACATCGCCTGAACTCCACATACTCACCAATAGCTATTTCCTTTTTTGCATCATTTTGTGATAGTTATCTATCCTTTGGTACGTCGGCGCTTTTCAAAATTGCAATTTCCATTCCTAAGTGAATTCCAGAAAGACCCGGTCTATCGAACATATTTTACTTAAAAAGGAAAATTGAAAGTCACTTTTGGAAATCGCCATTTTGTCGTGGTGACGACAATTTGCGCATGCACACGAGCGCTCGAATTTCGACGATTTTTTTTTTTAAACATTCATTGATATACGAGGCAACTCGAAGGGAAATAATTAGTTCTTGGGATTCTTTAACGTTCTAATTTGGATAAAAAATGAAACGATGGACATTTTTTCCGAGTACTTGAAGAGCCTTCAACCCTGCTACTTAGATAGTCATCGCCGAGATTCGTCCGTTCGCATCTTCTCGATGTTTTCTTCAATATTTTTTTTTATCGCACAATCTCTTCCCCATTAAAGAGATGCGAGAATATCTTTTTCGAAAATCACCCCCATCCCTCCAACCCACCTCAAATACTTTTGTCGACCTTTTGCATATACACGTGTTGCCTCTGTCGATCCGTCCGAATTCCAGTTCGAGGTTCCGTGACTTATCTACCTCTTTTGACACGTGTTTAAGTAGGTTTTCAAATGGACCAATACACCTGCACTTTAAAATCAGACCTCTTCACAGTTGGGGTACTTTTTCTTTGAATTTCATTCACCGAGCGTGGAGATTCAGTGAAAAGGAAGGAAAGTCGTGGAACCTCTTCATCGAGAAATCTTTCACCTTGGCGTTTTCGAAAATTCGTTTCCGCCGCCCCAACCCCCCAGAATACCTCGCGAACACCTCGAATGCGGAAGTTGCACTGAGTATCTATTTTTATCATACTCCTTCTCTATTATATTTGTCTCGATCACACCGGCCTTGGATCTCCTCCTCTATCGGCACGACACTATGCTACTACTACCTCTACCACTTCTACTACTTCTACTACTACTACCTACTACTACTACTACTACCACTCGAACGTTCGGTCGGTTCGGCAAACTCGACCCCCTTAGTCGCAGCGAAAGTCGTTATCCAAAAAAAGAATGGTAAGTCCGCCTGACGACTTACTTGACGTCAAAGTAACAAACGTTGTTCGTTGCCGTTCGCGATCGACGCGACGTGTCACTGCCGTCCGGAATTCCGGCTACCAAGTGCAACGATGTCGTCCGGTTTCCGAAATCACTAGTGTCCACGATTTTTCAAAAGAATTCCGACTAGTTAAAAGACTTTCGCAAAATGAGAAAAACGTCTGAGGTTCACATCACGTATAACGGCGTGAAAAGTGTGGAGTGAATAATAACGCGAGTTCACGCGGGAAGAGTAGAAGTTTGACAGCTCGCGACCACGTGGTACGGCCACGAGGTATGATCACGTGATGCGACCACGTGGGTTTGACGTTTTACGGAAGCCACGCGACACGCGCGTGCACTCTCAAAAATGGACATATGAGGCAAGTGGGTTTTTGTCGAGTCAAATTGAAATATCTATTTTATTTCTTAGGGAACCCGAGTTAAGTAGAAATAAAAGTATCGATTTAGTAGCGCGAAGAGTAGAAAGGAATTAAAATTAATGATATTATATAGTCATATCGATAGTGTTTATAGAGGACTTTTTTGTTACATTCTATGTCGATTGAAAATCAATGTTCCTTGGGTGTTTTAAATGCAGGAAAGTATCCGTAGGATAACTTGCTTCAGCCCAATCATTTTTGAAAATGTGGTGCCTGGTGTTAGGTCGCTGTCACGTCCGCGTCGTCGTGAAGCATAGCTCTTTCTTTCACGTGCTCTGGTACTTGTTAGGTTTTGAATTGACTATTAATCGCCAGTCGTGTAACTCGATCTTTCAGTTTGTTCTTCACCGCCGCCTTACTACTTTACCCGCCATCACTGCTCGCGTCTTTAACACCACACAATCCCACCTTAAGCTCGACTTTGCGCAAGCTTAAAGATCCGTTGACAGTCCGTCATTTTACGGGAAAACGCGTGATCGACACCGTCGAACGTCCAATGGCTAAATGGCACTCGATTAAACGGAAATTCACATTTTTTTTCATTCCTGCCGAGTTCGCGCATTCGCGGATAAGTATTCAGGAAATTTCTCCATTCACGGAGCTAGGCAAAAAAATTGACGTACGTTTAAAACGGGCGCTTTTAATTAAAACGAAACTTTCCGAAAATTAGAAACATTTTATTTTCCAAACAATCGACGAAAAGAGATTGAAAGAGACTTCTTTTCTATTTTTTTTGCGATGTCGTTACTCGTAACTTCGTTCGATCGTTTCATGTTTTCACACATTCCAATCCTCGAAATTAACATCTTTAGAAAAACGTTGTGCATGTAATGATTGATCGTTCAACGTGAAAAGTGCTATTATGTATATGCCGCTGAAGAGTTGACTGGCTGCTAGTGTATTCCACAAGTTTCATACGTCATGGCAGACTAGAGAGGAAAGTTGCTTTTCTAATATTAAAGTAAGAGAGAATTGGGTACAGTGGAATATTTGAATTATTGCAGACTGGACAAGGACACCAGTTTTCAAAAGAACCGAAATCTTTTTACGAACCGATGACATCTAAATTTTCGTTTGTGCGATGAGTTTAAGTTATGTTAATCATTTAATAAACACTTGCACTGCTTATAAATATTTTTACAAACACTTGCATTGCTTATAAATATCTGAACTTATAGAAATATTTGAGGACATTTAACAAATAAATAATACTGAACTACATAGTAAAAAGACCATTTAACATCGTGCACTAGGTCTCATTTTTCTAAAGACTATACTTTGAAACTTATCACGAATTCAAACTTTTTCCACTGTGCCCCAGTCTCTCCTAATCAACACTCTCAGGAAATTAGTATCTTATTATCATTCACGTAACAATCATTCACTACAAAAAGGCTTTATATTATACAAATTTATTCCTGTTTTGCTACATATGTACCGTAGTTCAATCGATCAGAAGATCTCCCTTGTTCATTAATTATTAAAAATCCCAACACTACCCGTACTCGTAATTTTCAATCGTACGTGCGCACCATTATCCGCGGTAATTAGCGCAATTAAGTTACGCCTTCTTTTTTATCCTTCGCTTTAACAGACTCGATTCTTAATTGGGATTTGCATTCTTTCTTGATAATGGATTAGCCAAAACGTCGTCTCTCAGCCCGGTCTTGAAATAATAAGCACTGTTCACCGATCGAAGACAAGTTGCGGAAACAATTGCGCGGCGGAAGAGCTTACTCGAAACCGTAAGACTTGGAGACGGTTTTGAAAGAGCGGGATGCAAAATTTCAAGATTTCGCCCAATGGTGCCACTCATCGTTCCGAGGCCATTCGGACGCGACGCGGTTTTACGGTCCCGAACTTTAACCTCGTTTGAGTTTGCTCGTTTGATTTACGTTTGGATTGCGCTTTACGACGTGTGAGATCTCACCGTGTGTCATTCCCTTAACAGCGGCTAGGAACAACCGCGACGGTAGTAAAGCACGGCTTTACTCCACTTCCGGCTTTACGATCTCTTCTCCGGAGATCGCCGCCGATCTGACCCCTCTCATCCAAAGAATCAACGGACACCCGGACACTTCACACGGGATCTATGGAAAACGGGTCCGCAGATCCCCTAAGACAATTGCGAGCAACCGCACTGAGAAAAAGTGGCTGTGAAGTATGCGCCAGTCCCTACAAGGGATAGGATATGATGTACGACCACAGAAAGAAAGAATAACTACAAACTGTTGTTGTATATCGTATCCTTTTCAGGTTCTGGCGCCTATCCCACAGATTCTGTGGTAATGTTTAATACTATTTTTTCTCAGTCCCCAACGTAAGGCTCCGTTTACATGGCGGGTTTTTGGACGCAGATTAGTTAATGCAATGGCATAGCTACAGATTGCGTTGACAAGAGAACGCGCGTTTAGCTCGGAAAAACGGAATATAGTTATGCTATCCGCAATCGTCTCGCGTACTCACCTGAAATCGGGAAAAGTGAAAATCCATTTCGAGAAAAGGATACCTTACGCCAAGTCTAAAAGTGCCAATCGGTTCGATCGATTCCTTCCGGTGGAATTAATTTTTTTTCTTTTTTTCGCAACTGGTTCCTTGATCGACGTTTTTCCGACTTCCCGAGTGGTCGCGTTTGCGGAAGGGAAAAAGGTAGGGGGAAAAAGTCGCGGACCGACGGAAAGTACCGACGATTCCGAAATACCCGACGTGGCTTCTTATTACTTCTTCTCCTCTGCGACGTGTAGACCGACTGAACTAGAAGACCCCAGCGAATCGCGACTTCTGAGAACGGACGAAAGGATTTCCCGAAGGACACGGGAAATGGGACGTTCATTTCTCTCCAAAGCCTCCACAAGTTCGAGTGTCGAGAATTTCCTTGAGCCGAAGGATGTGCACGAGGATCATTAGTTCATTTATTTTCTTAGACGTTTCCTCTTAAATTGGCATAATTAAATATTGCTATTCCGATGAACGGGTCAGGCCATCGTATTTAATTGGATGAAAAAGCTATGACGCTTTATGCATCGAATTAGTTACTTGTCGCCACCGAGAAAAACGTTTCCTTGAAATATTGCCGATTGATCGATCAAATGTCCACGTTGACGTTAATAAACGAAGAATTTGTTGTTCTCCATTGGAAGAGTCGATTAATTCAGACGAGGATTTTTTGCCACAGATTCCAAGGATAATTCGAGTCTAATGTCAAGTGCGTCATAAAAACTCGTGCATGTCCTTAACGGAGTACACCACATCACACGTTATGAATCTTTCGTTTTTCTTTTTTTTCCCGTTTATCCGTATTATTTCTCTCCCAAGATATTCATCCACACGACTCTTCCGATGGTCAAGTTCTCGGCGACTTCCCTCGTATCTTCCCAACCAAGAATCTATCTCTTTCTCGACCCCTCCTCTCGCTCGCCTTTCTTTTTCGAGCACACCTGAAACTACAACTGCCTGTTTTCTTTCCCCCTTTTCGAATTACCGTCCCGACTAGCTATCGAAACACCCCTTTCTCTTAGATCGGCCCGCAATTGGCCGGAATAGTGCCAAGTGTTTGCCTGCATTCGATTTTATTTGCGCATGCTACTCCACTCCCTACTATTTCTACCTTATTCCTCCAATTAGATCGCTCACCAGCTCGATACTAGTTTATACCAATTTAAAGATCGGGAACGAGGGTGCAAAGTACCTTGTAAGGTTTAAAAAAAAAAGAGCTCCACCCCCAAGTTTACCACCTCGCTGCGAACTCGGAGAACCACCCTCGTTCCCAGCGAACGATTAATCAAAATCTTTTTCGAAGTTTTGCAGGAAGCTTCCGTAGCAGCGTTGTGCCGCGCACCGTTTTGCAATTTCTAACGAAGGCACGGAGGAATTATTTCTCGAGAGATGGCCGAAGTGTTTTCTCAAAACTGCCGATCCTATCTGTTTTTTACCTTGAGATTGAATATATTAACGTATTTTTTTCTTTTTTTTTTCTTCTCACCAGGACGACCCTCCAGAAATAATCTCTCCGCTTCAGTGCAAGAGTAACGATGCGTTTCGCTGCCTGCCTTCGTCGAGTGCAACGAAGTTGGGGATAAGAAAAGAAACACAAATGTAGATATTTATTCGAGTGGGGCTGGATATTAATCGAAGCGGTCGAAGGCAGACAGGGTCACGTCCATCACCTACTAATATACTTATTCTTGTGCTTTCAGTAAATCTCGTAGAGAGTCTCGAGAGCGACTTTGTCTCCTCTCGGGAAATCGCGCGGAAATACGCCAGAGATCCGGGCCGCAGGCTCGTGCGAATATCTCCTCGTTTGATTTCTCATTCTGTAGACCTAGAACGTCAACACGCGCGCGAAAGAGTACCAAAGGTTCAGTCGGTAGCCGGTGAATGGAAACTAGAGTACCTTGAAGCGGAGCACTCGTGAAACTACTTGTCCATGAATAATGAAAATTCCGAGTGCCCGAAGGCCAAGAAAACAATGCCTTGGGGTCCCGTTCGGACTTCTTCCCGGCTTTCCGGCCTCTTCGTCTGAATTTTTATACCTATCCGATGGTTCCAAAATTCCACTTTTCCTTGCCCCCCTAACGACCACCCCGAAGATCCCTTGTAGCCTGAAAAGAGGAGTGCTCATTAAAAAATAGAATTTATTTACCCTACTTAGAACAGGGCCGATAGTCAAACACAATTTAAATATAATCAGAGGGGATTACGTTTCCGTAATAGATCCCAGGACAATTTCTCCAAAGTGTCCATTAAGCATTAAAGTCCCAGGGGGTCCGAGCAGCGCCTCGGTGCGTCGTCCAGATTCCTCGAGGCGTCCCGACCTCTTCGAGGCTCCTCTCTTCGGCTCCTTTCTCCCCGTTCCCGTTCGACGTGGATCCCAGCTGTAATAAAGAGAATCCAATTCCCCGAAACGATTTTTCCCAACGTCCCTATCAACGATTAAAAGCTTCAAGAGAGGTCCGAACGGCGCCGGCGCGACGGCCGCGGCCGACCTGGCTATTTTTGTCCGAATTAATGACATTAATTTTCAGCACATGCTTGAGAATGCTACTTACGCTGTGCACATGTTTTTCGTCTGTTCTATGTGTTGTTTTCTTTCTACCACACTGAACCACTATCTACTGCTACTACTACTCCACTACTACCACCATCACAAATACTACTGCTACTACTACTACCACCACCACCATCACCCGTACCGCAATCTCGACAACCGAAATGAACGAAAATACGGTCGCAATCGATGCTGCTCTCACATTGTTGGTACTTCTGTCCCTTTAATCACGTCCTGACCATCGTCGTCGATAATCGACCATGCCCGACGTGGTGGCATCGTGCTACATGCTCCTCTTCGATATTCGACCCCACTACCACCGCGTACGGTGAGTTTTTTATCTGGTTATCTCTGTCTATCTCTGTGTGTCGCGCTGAATGTTGGTCCGTCCGTCTCCTTTTTGCCGGAGAGTTAAAGATATACGGACGTTTCCCACCATTTTCAGGCGATGTGAAAGTGCTAGATACAGGGTGGGTGTATATGGTTGTTTTTGTTTTAATTTTTTCCATAATTCAATAGATGGATTTTAGGGAGAAAGGGGAAGATCGTATTTTCTTCCTTTTTTTTAGAGGAATGCAGCCGATTAAGATAAATGTGAACGTAATGGCGGATAATATTGGAAAGTATTTGCTGTTTATTGTAGTGCACCTCTCTTAGGGTGCGCTGTAATTAGATAGTGATTTTTGCTGCACTTTCACATCCCCGCGAAAATGTTACTAGTTAGTAACGCGAAGGGATTTCAGTATTGTAATCAAAATTGGGTGGTTAGTTCCTTAACTCGCAAGGCGGTTGTTAATTTTATAGAAGTCGTTAAATGTATGTAGTGTGTACGTGTTCGGAGTTGGTTAATCTGCGCCTGCATTTTTGGTGACGTGGGGTCCCTAGAATTTGCTAATGCGCGGCTTTAGAGTATCTGGTGAAGTTGAAATGTCGAATTTCCCTCCGAAATGTAGTGTCAGGGCTCATAAAGTGGAGACCCAGCGAAACGATTTTACTCGGGTAAAATTTGATTTAATCAAGACTCAACTGCCACCAGATGCACTTCCGTTGATTAGCTTTAAACGCCATCGCATATCGTAAAATTAAATCCGCGTAGAGGGAAACATTCAACGAACTTGGAAGTACGATCGAATTTTCTTCCTGGTAGCTTGAACCATACAGAATCAGTAAACACTTCCTGAGGGAAAAATGATCTTTGCGATATTATTTAAAGAAATCTTAATATTACTTGTACACCCTTGGAAGACAATATTCGGAATAATCCATGCGAACGATTTTCCAAAAAAAATTCTTTCCTAACGACCTGAAGTGCGATCAAATTCCTAAAGTGAAGATCTTTCTTGTGTACCGAAGATTTCTAACCTTAATATTACTTGTACACCTTTGGAAGACAATATTCGATATAATCCACGCAAATGATTTTCCAAAAAAAGTTCTTTCCTAACGACCTGAAGTGCAATCAAATTCCTAAGTGAAGATCCTTCTTGTGTACCGAAGATTTCTAACGAGCGATTGACCACTTTATCGGTGTATCGACTTTCCTACAGATCTATCGAAATCTTCTGGTCTTCCCAGCAAATCTCGAAGGGAGCTTAAGTTCCTAGACTCTAAAAAGCAAATCAATCCTTACATCGCGATCTATTGCAACGAAGCATACTTCATTCGGAACGATAAAATCTTTCCTGGTCCCGGAGGATGTATCTCTGAGGCGCGAAGAAGTATTTATTTGGCGCGAGACTTCGGTTTATCACTTTCAGGACGAGGGTCTTAGGGCCAATTTCGAAATTGGTCAGAGGCTGCAAAAAGTGGAGGCTTCGAAAACATCTTTCAATCACTTCGAATACTACAGTCCCTATTTTTCTTCCTCGTCCTTCCTCGCGATCAGGCAAATATATCCTCCCGAAGGAGCGTAAGCTCGAAACTGGGATGCCGATATTGGAAATACTAGATTCGCTCGTCTTACGAGCTCGACTGCTTTCGTTGCCCTCTCAAGATTGTCAACTCCTCCATTTCCGAAATTGACCAAAATTTTTCCAATAATGGACGAGATTTCCCAACTGATAAAATGGTGCTCCAGATATACCCATTCCGAGAATAAGAGTTAACATCTGTCCTGAAAACTGCCCTACTCCAATTTACCCGTTTTGACATTTTTCTCTCAAAATTCGATCGTACTCCCAAGCGATATACTTAATCAATTCTCAATCTAAGTCTCGTTTAAATACTTTGCAATAATAATAATTGAACCTAACCATTCATTTAAGTAATTGAGGCCAGTTTAATGCGATAAAAATAACTATTCGACATTGCAAAACTTGCGTGTGTACATATGCGAGCTGTCGATCGTGCGTTTGTCGAGTAACAATTCTCTAATTGAATTTACCGGTTTTTTTTTTTTTTTTTTCGGAGATACCGACGGGATAGGAAACACGGACACGGCCAGCGTAAAAAGAGATCTCTCGCGAACCGAACGAGGGGAAAAAACATTGCCAAGGAAAATAACAAGCGATTCGACGATCGATCGATCACGATCACCCGAGCGTGGAACGAGCGATAGGCTCGTGTCTGCCGACGTTTCGATCCGCCTTGAAAAATCGCTCCGGGATTCGGAAAAACGTCGGCGATTTGTTCGCTTCCTCTTCTTCTTGAGGCTCTCGATCTTCGTAACGTCTTCCGGATGTCCGGATATCCGGATATCCGGCTAAACGAGGCAGGAACGAGGGCAAGAGCGGATGGTCGGGCGATTTCCATTTCGGCTCGTCGCGACGACGTTCGGACGGTGTAATGACTTTATCGCATTTTTGCTGAGAAATTCGCAATCCATGATTATTGCTGACCCCGAAAATCCACAAGAGAAAATAAAAGCTTTCTGAAAGAAATAAATGAACAAGAGCACATTGGGCTTGCACATTACCGCGTTCAGCGACTAGGTCTTAGCCGTATGCTGAGCCCTTGGGGGAAAACTCGATTTTCCTCGTTAATCTGGAATAATACGAAAAAATTCCCTAGACAAAAGTTGTTCGGTGATATTATTCGAGCAACTTTTACTCGAGACATTTTTGGCTCTCGCGTCTCGGTGGGCCAGAATACGTCGACGACCGAGCGCGCGAAGTCGCGAGTGCGACCTTCTCGTCGAACGCCGTTGTGTTACACTTTGGCCTTTTCACGGGAAATGGTGTTCAGCAATTTTCTCATCGATTTATCGGCAAAAGTGCACAGACGTAAAAGCGATACTGCGGACCGTAAGTTACGACGAGGACTCGTTAACGGGGCGTATGATGCATTTCAACATCGTGTATGCGCCCACTGCATGTGCATGCTGGCCGGCATCGCCCCGCACGTTCACGCAAGCTTCGATGCAAGTGCGTGCACGAGCCGACATTCGTGTGAGCGCGTAATAACCTTTTCAACTTCTAAGCTGTAATTTTCTCCCTGTCGGTTGAATGCGAGTTTGACGTCGAAGGAAAACGGGTGCCCAAATTGGCAAGAGAAAATCTCCCGGTAGTTCTCGTCGCCGCGGCGATGCACGTTTTCTAGAGAGCGCGGAAAAATTGGACGATGCGTCGTTTCAGTCATTGGAAGTTAATCGTTATTAATTTCTCTACTTAAAGACCCGTAAAGCTAAAGTATCAAAATTACGTTACGTGAGTTCTTTTTATTTTTAAACGAGGCAGAAATATTGGTTTAATTTTCTCGAAATAACCGCATCGGTATAAACGCGCATTCACTTCGGTTGACGAGGAGCTACGACGAGAGTTTCTACAAGTCGAGGGGAATTTCTGACGATGATTTCATGCGTTGGACGTGATGCGTTTTAGGTGCAGCAGCGAATCTCCGCAAGGAGGTCATCAGAAACAAGATCAGGGCTATTGGGAAAATGGCACGAGTCTTCTCGGTACTGAGGTCAGTAGACACTCCCTCCTCGCGTTGCCACAAAAATGTCCCACTATCCTAACATGCCCCGTCAATGGGATTCTGGGTCGAGGGTCGATCCCTCTCGAACCAGGAGGAATCCGACGATGAATATTCCGCTTTTATTCCTCAGGGAGGAGAGCGAAAGTGTCCTGCAGCTGAAGGGTCTTACGCCGACCGGGGCCCTGCCTCTTGGTGCACTTTCTGGTGGGAAAACGTCCCTCAAGAATGGTAAATAGATGCTTTCGAAATGTCCTACACCGTGTAGCGGTTATCACGCTCTTAGAACCGACGCCCGGAGATAATGGCACGTCTAGAAACGAAAAGAGAAAAAATGACAAACAAAAGGGTTGATTCAAACCCTTTTATTCTTGCCGGCGCCTGTAGGCGGTTTGACAATTTGCGCCTATGGGCGCCGACAACTGTTATCGTCAATGGTATAACAAACCAGGGATGAGCAAATCGGTTTTGGTCTTGATTTTGCCCTTTTTGCAAGACCTGATCATAATGGTAGTTTTGGGACCTGTCGCATGAACATTCAAGCGAAAACTAAACATTCGGTTACTCTAATTTTCATCGGTGCGACGCAAATATTACCAATCCGAGATTAACTAATCTTAACTAAGAAATTTCACGTTAATCATGGTTGGTGCAACCGACGTCTAGTCTCAAATTAGTCCACCACTGATAGCAACTACATGGCGGTGAATAGAATAAAATAGGCGCTGATGAAAAGTTTCACCGTCCACCGCGTTGGTTATAATTCTCTATCGTCTCTCTCGTCTATTGTTTATCACGCGTGATATATATTAAAATATACCGTAGCGAAATTGATTTAGACTGGCTAGGTATAAATGAACATAGTACCGAGGATGAACATTTAGCGTTTAGTCCCGAGTAGTTGGAATTAATATCGATGGATCGTTCAGCTCTGCAGGGCTTCTCGCCGAATCATAAGATCACCTCGTTCGCCGAGGCGAAGGGTTTGGATGCGATAAACGAGAGGATGCCGCCCAGGAAGGACGCACCTCCGACTCCTGTCAACGAGGAGAAGCCGGCGTCGAAGCCAACCGCGGCCGCAGCGGACAAACGGGACCACTGTTCGCCGCAATCTCATTCGTGAGCCTCGCGATCCTCCGATCAAGGTACAACCTATAGATCCGACATCGACGACATCCACGTTACCGACACATCCCTTAATTCCTACAAAAGTCAACGATTTTAAATAGAACATTACATTTGGCATTGCACTTGTCTCGCGATTTGTAATTGGAACCGTACACGCGTTTTGTAATAAAAAAAAAAAACCATTGGTCGCTTTCCGTCTAAGTGTGGTTACAACGAATAAGCGTTTCATTGTTTAGAATGAAAATTTTGATAAGAGCATCCTTTCAATTCAATGGTATTCGAATTCATTGAGGAAATCGGGACCACTGTTCGCCACAATCTCATTCGTGAGCCTCGCGATCCTCCGACCAAGGTACCGCCTATAGATCCGACATCGACGACATCCACGTTACCGACACACCCCTCAATTCCTACAAAAGTCAACGACTTTAAATAGACCATTATACTTGGCATTGCACTTGTCTCGCGATACGTAATCGGAACCGTATGCACGTTTATAACAAAAGATAACATCGCTTGCTTTCCGTCTACGTGTGGCTACAACGGATAAGCGTTTCATTGTTTACTATATTTTGATAAGAGCATCCTTTCAATTTAATGGTATTCGAATTCATTGAGGAAATCGGGACCACTGTTCGCCACAATCTCATTCGTGAGCCTCGCGATCCTCCGACCAAGGTACCGCCTATAGATCCGACATCGACGACACGCACGTTACCGACATACCCCTCAATTCCTACAAAAGTCAACAATTTTAAATAGAACATTACACTTGGCATTGCACTTGTCTCGCGATACGTAATCGGAACCGTATGCGCATTTATAACAAAAGATAACATCGCTTGCTTTCCGTCTACGTGTGGCTACAACGGATAAGCGTTTCATAGTTTACTATATATTGATAAGAGCATCCTTTCAATTCAATAGTATTCGAATTCATTGAGGAAATCGCCATCTTCATACCCATAGAATGTTCATAAAAGCAACGAGCCTTTTTGTATCATAATGTCGATAACGATTAACATCGGTTAGTTTAAGCTAGAAGGTAATCGATTTCAGTCCTTGCAGCCGTTTGCGTATAAAAGTCAAATTTTCGTCCCTCACTTACGATATAATTAAATCTCAAAGACGGTAAACGTGGAGCGATTTTTATTTCACGAGGGAAGAAACCTTCATGATTAAATCGAGGATAACCGCAACGGCGGGTATTTTAAGAAAAACTTATTTTCTATATTTCTCCTTAAAAGGATATGTCTGAAGGTGTACGATTGATAAATTTCAGGTGACAAGGGTGGTACGTAAGGTACTTCGCGGCCGCCGTGTCAACCAATCATTGCTCTCGTCTCTTCTCGGATCTTAGGATAGCGCATTCATCGAGTCAAGACATTCGTCGAGGGAGGAATATTCGCGTAAAGTTAAAAGTCGCGATCATCGATACGCATCATCCTCGGCGTGACCCAGAGCGAGAAAGAAAGAACGAGTCCTGCGGCGATGCATGCGGTCGTTCTACCGCGTAAACCCACGGTTCGCTCTTTCTCTCTCTCTCTCATACTCAGTCCCTCTGACTCTCTCTCTCTCTCTCTCTATCTCTCTATCTATCTCTATCTCTCCCTCGGATATATGATAAAGTGCAATCGGTCGTTCGGTCCGGCGTTTCTCTCGCTCGCCGAGAAGCGCCTCTCTTTCCGTCTCCGTCGCGGCCATTCCGCGACGACCGGCGATGTCGTTCCGTCTCTTCCTCTCCGACCGGTCTCGGTATGCTTCTGTCTCCCTTCCGCTCCACCGCCGAGTCCCCCTATTCCCGTGTAGCCGTACCTACGTATAAGGAAGCGAGAACTCAACGTCATATGCAAATGCAGCGACGCACAGGGCAGATACGCGCATCGAAGAGACGCGGGGTCTCCGAAGAGACACGAGCGCAGAAGATCGGGCCGCGAACCCGGCCTCCGGTCGTCGAGTTTCTCCTCTTTGGTCCGCCACTTTTGTTTCGACCCCGAGCTCGGACGGGTCCCTCTTCGTCCCGCTCCGTCGAGGACGTGGAAATTTTCGCTAAACCTCAATTATTCTCTCCCCTTCCATCGATTATCAGGTAAATTGACCTTAACCCAGGATCTGGAGAAACTCGCCGACCAAGAGGTGGACGCGGCGTGCTCGGAGAAGCGCGAAACCGCGAGGACGCGCGTACCTCCCTGGAAAGGACGAAAAGAACGGGAGCGAGGACGATCGGCGCCGACCGACCGCTGCTGGAAGAACGCGCCTGCACCGCGGATAACCCAAAATGGCGTTTAGCGCTCCTCAAACGGAGGAAGATAAATGATAAAGGGAGGAAGAACGGCGCCGACTCGCCGCTCGCGTCCTTCCTCGCGGAGTCGCGAGGACCGAAAGCGTACGCGCTCGTATTTATATACATATTCGAGACACGCGCGAAACCCCGTGTACATACAGGAGATTCAAATGAGAGGGACGAGTCGCAGGTCCGGCGCAGGATTCGCAGCTGGTCTGCAGGTGCGCCGGACGTATCCCGGGTTAGGACTACTAGGCTCTTAAGGTACGCCCTGGGCGGTGCACGAGGGCATCCCCGCGGGAGGTGGGATTACTTAAGTTAACTCGAGAGAGCTAAGTCTAGACTAAGTTACGTTGATGAATTTATTTAATATATATAATATATATCATATACATATGCATACGTATAGACGCATACATACATATAATACAGGGTGTCCCGCGGAGCTCCTGGAGCGCTCATCCGGAGAATGCGCGCCGAGGCGATTATCCTCGAGGACGAGACTGCCGACGATGGAGAGATAGATTCGAAGCGATTGGCCAAATTCCTCGAGTCTACTCCGGATGATACGCGGAATCCCCTGATCGGGCCAATCGTCGGTAGTTTGGTCCTCTAGAAAGGAGGCTACGGGGGCTACATCCCTAGAAGTACCGGGGACGTCTTTGAACGATCCCGAAGCTTGGATGCGTTCGGCAATTTTCTCTCCCAAATTGAGCATCGATAGGGCATTTAGAATCTTCTGAGACGGGAAAATGTAACGGCGAGGGTCTATTTCTCGCGGCTTCCAATTGGATTCGAGTTGTACCCGTTTGGATTGGGGCGGAAGAAGGACTCGGAGGTCTATTCGACGTATGAACATCCAAATGATCTCGTGGGTACGATATCGCAGGCTGCAGCCCAGCTGCTTTACTATCACTGGAAATAATTTGTAACGATGGAATTGGATTACATCCTACCGGCTGTAGTTTCAGCACGTCAGAAGTTTGGATATTCTCGCGGTAGTTCCGAGATGGGATCCTTCTTAATGTATCTTTTCTGAGCCTGGCGTCGAATCCTCCGCAGTTTCCTCCCATTGACAAGTTGCCATTGCTAACGCCTGACATCCTCTTCGGGATCGTTCAAAGAGACGCCATCTTGGTACCCTACTTTCGGCGAAGACGTTAAAAAGCGAATCGGCGTTCGCCCTCGGAAGGAGCGCGGGAGTTCCGCGCCGTTTCTTCTCGCGCGACACCTCGCCTCCCTCGAAGCTAACGTATGCCTATCCTGTGCGTTTACTGTATTTATATATGTATATAGTAAGAGAGACGGGGAGAAGGAGAGCGAGAGAAGCCACTCGCGCGTGTAAAGAACCTAATAAAAAGATCGAATCGCTGCTCGATCGAGCGGGTCTCCGTCTTCCCTTTGAGAATCGCCAGTAGCCGGGGATTCGAGAATATAGCGGACCTAGGCGATAGCGCGGGTCTAAAGGCCCTCTTTGATCTTGACCTCGGGCCGGACACCCGCGCGGAAGCGCCGCCATTTTGGTGCCCGGTGCAGAGGCTCGCCGGATATTGCTAATTCGCGCCGCTCCGGTTGCGGCCCTTGGGTCGGCGATCTTGACGGCCGGTGCACGCGGATGGGCGAGATGGGAAATGAACGTTTGAAAAAAAATATGAAAAATCATATTTACGCGTTACACTTACGAACGGGAGTTTCGAGAGCGTTGTCGCGAGTCGCGCGACGCGATGTCTTCGGTGCCACTTCGGCTGGACGTTTTTGGTGTTTTCACTGTTTCGTGCGACTAACTTTCATTGTATCGCTAATCGACCCTCGTCGGACCTTTCGATTTGTGCCTGTTGGATTAATTCTTAAAGATTAACGTTGCGAGATAATTTTAGGCGACGTCGTCAATCCGGATGGCGAACCGTTCGCCCCTCGCGATCGCCGATTTATCGAAACGGACCGAATTACTCTCTAGGTGTATACTGTGTGAATTTAAGTATACCGGTTTAACGCACAATGCAATTTTGCCTCTATTTATAGAGAGATCGGAGGTATTAGCCGCACGCGGCGGGTACCGAGATGTCTTGACAAAAAAAAATAATAACGCCGCTCGTTCGAGGCTCGTCTCCTTGGGAAGACGGAGAGGGAAGCGATAGGGATCGCGAAATATGAAAGAAAAACGATGAAAGTAGATGCGGAATGTGGTGGCAAAGCGAGTGCGCTTTTTTGGGACTTCTTCCACGGAGTCGCCGCCGATGATATGAGACGCCCTTATCAAAGAAAGCTCGTGACGTGTCGAGGTGGACTTATGCCGTGTGCGGTATGATGCGGCGCTATATTTTGTCAAGAAATTAATAGTTAAGCTGAAGGTAAAAAATATAGGTCAATTCTGTTCAGCATTTAATCCAATTATTCCATGTCTGGAATAAGTTCTATTGAAGTCGGTATTATTTTTATAAATTCGCATTCGATAAAATATTGTTAATATTTGTCATACTTGTGAACTCTGCATTTTAATATGTTACGGGAAAATGATGTATGGAAGCAGACAATATCCATTGTTTTATCGGTGTACAGCGAAAAACCGCAAACGGTGCAGTTCCACCTCACATCAAGCCGGGGCCGCTTTACGAAGTTCAGTAATTTCTCGCTATCAACTTTCATCCCCCTACTTTTTTCTTACTAATTTTAGATTCGTGGATGCACCGATCAAGGCCGAACGGTACAATGCGATTGAAATAAAAGCTCGTATAAAAGGATTAGTCGCAATAACGATCAGTCGTCACAGGGCGTTAAACACGCGGAGTAAACTTCTAACAATTTTTACCGACAAATTTCATACTCCGGAGAACAATCTTACCGCAAAAGGCACTAGAAGAACGCGCGACTAGGGTAGTGCACGTAGTACAGTAAATCGTACATGGGTTTACTCGACGAAGAAGCGATTTTTGTAATAACCGCGACGACCTTTCAAACCGCTAAGCGGTCGGTCGTCCATAAAGATAATTAATATTCCTTTGAAAAAAGGTGTTATCCGCGTTAAACGACTACCACGCCTCTTCACTTACAAGATTTCCGAAGGCATCGGTTGCACGCGAAGACTTTCGAAGGAGGACTCAGCCGACTCGCTCCCGAGTTAGCCAATTCGCTTATCACCGCCACTCGAAAGCAAACGTGGAGGAGCATCTCTTGAAAAGAAATGTCGCGTCCGCGTGTTTTAAATAATTAAATCTATTAACTGAACCACTAGATCGGTACGCATTTATCCGTGCCGAAACACGTGTTCACTCGGTACGTTCACATCGGGATCATCCCCATTCTCCTTTAAAAGAGGCTTCTTATTCCGGCCCTAAAACAATTCTCTCAACGTCCAATCGCGCTTAAACACGACAACGATCGCTTTACTATCCGGTTTCCGCAAAATGTCGCAAGGCTATCCCCGCTTGATGCGCCAGGCACATTCGACGAGGGCACGAAGGAAATCTCACCGAGTCTTATAGCATTGATCCTCTATGATTTTAATGTGTGTTCTTGCTATCCGAAATAAGTCGGGGCCACTTCCGCTGCTCGACCTCGAGCCGGGAGGTCCGGGCTCCCGGAAAAGGGGGCGCCTCGCCGATCTCGGGGCCTCTGGAGATCCCTCGATCTTTCGCGATCCAGCATCCCTAGTCTCGAATGGACCCCCCCCCCGGGAGGGGCCCGCGTTTAATCGTAGCATCGCGCGTCTCTATACCGTGTTTTCTACCTCCTCTCAGAGCCCCGAAACCCAAAAGTCGAGGCCCCTCCGAGCCGGCCCTCCGGCCCGAAGGCAGCGCGATCCTGAGCCGCTCAGAAACATAATGAATTATTAATGAAAGATTTAAATTACTAAGTAAGATATTATACACACCACACATCTCTCTCTGCTCTTCTCTCGTCTATGATATATAAANTACATATATTATACGGTATATTAATTACCTACTGTTACTGTAAGGCTGGAGATATATTATCATCATCATCATCATTATTATTACTAGTGCCACTTAATAGCGTTATTACTATTTACTATTGGGAAGAGAAGACGAAATACCTGTGTACCGTCGTTGGGTAATCTCCGAGACGCCCCGTCGAGAGCGAGTTAAGTTTTCGACGTCGACGGTGACGTCGTTCTTTGACTTAGAGGACGGCAGCTCCGATTTTCAATTCACTTCTCTCCTTATTCGAACACCGTAGGGATAGATAGTTTGTAAACGATCTTTAAAGGTAAAAATCGCTATTACTTTTGTCTCGATTGTTTCGGGAAAATCGAAGGAAGGAGTAATCTAAAATTCCGTATACAGAGTGGAAGAGGTAATCGATGTTGATTGACTCGTCTCCTTAATTCTTGATGTAAAACGATGTTTTTGAAAAAAGTATATAATATTCATATACAGGAACTTGATATACTTCATGGTGCTTTCCCCTACTTGGAGCATTGGAAATATTTTCTGTGTCGTTATATTTCTTTTCGCTTTTCTTAGCATAAAGATTAACGTAAAGAACGACATATAATGCGATTCAAAAAATGTTACTGAAAGCATTGTTTAGTTTTTGCCATTAAGACCTAGAAAATAATTAAAAATAACTATTTTATCCGGTTGTTCTACTCTGTATACATCCAAACCGAAAATCAATAATCGATCGACGGAGTTTTTGTATCGGTTTCCTCTACTCTGACAAACGTCAAACGCACGTGGCAGCGATCAGCTGATCGTTTCGATTTTCAAGATGCGTTCGCTCTATCGGTTGTCATTCCGAAAACGATAACTCTCTCTCTCTCTCTTTCTCGCTCCCTCTGTTTGTCCTCTCTTTCCCTCTCTCTTTCTCTCCATCTTTCCCTCTTTTTTGACTTTGTATATATATTTGTACGAGCGACTCGTTCTCACCGTGTATAATCTGTGCCGTGTCGTAGACTTTTAGATAGGCTATTAATACGATTACCGAATGTCGGAAACGACGGAGTGTCCCCGATGGGTGGAGGCCGAATTGACAGGGTGTCAGAAACCGCGTATCTTCGCGAACCTGTCACTGTCAATGCTCGTGGCGGAAGAAAAGTGAGCGATCATTTCCGAAGCTCCGAAGGTCCCCGGTCTGGCAGGAAGTCAAACTCGCGACCGTTTTCGCGGTCATTACGTGTAATGCACGCGGCGGAAAGTTTTTGTCAGTTACGACAATTTTAGATCCCCAAAGCGCTGTCATGAATTGACCGGAAGCGAGACCGGAAGCTGTAGACACTCTTTCCCGATGCTTCCAATGAAGAAATCCAAGGAGCGCGAGGACGCCCCCGGAAACACCGTTGAGCAATAAATAAAGTCTTCTACCGGGCCACCGCGTAAACAGAGTGACGCGTTGAAAGGAATCGAAGCATCTCGCTCAATTATTCACCGAACATTAAATTAATTAAATTCATCCGATAATTTGGGACTTCCGCAGTTGATTCAAAGTAGCGACCGTGTAAGAAATTGATCGGAAATCAACGCAAATCGATGGGGGCGATTAATCGACCAGGCCCTCCGATCGCGTCGGGACGCTCCGTCGTCGGCCTCGAGGACGTCGCAGGGATCCGCCAAGACGACGCCTCCGGGATCCTCGGAAGCGCGTCGCGACGTCCCTCGGGCCGAGGCGATCGAAGGTTGTACGATAAGATGCTAGGGTTCGATTGATCGAACGATCGGGGAATTCCAGAGCCTTTTTCTTAGACTTACTCGCGGCGAGGTCTCCGCGACCTGGGCTTGGCTTACCCCGATCACTCGGTACGCGCACTAAGGGTGTAGTTTTGTCAAACTGTCGGGGTAGACAATGGGGTACCAAGACGATATGCGAGCGTTTGCTCCGACGGTTTGATAAATCCACTGCTTTAGGATGCCGACCGAGTGATCGGGGTAAATTAATAAGCCATAGGCCTCGACCCCGCCGCTTGAATCGCCTTCGAGGGCAGCCGACTCTACGGGTTTTAATCTCTTCCGAGACTTTCACAGGGGAGCTCCGTTCTCGGCGAAGTGTACATCTCTTTACGATTAGATTATTCGAAGTCCTTCTAAGTACTCGGCCCGCGACTTGTGCCCGAGCACTCGAGTCGCCCTAAGTGCCGATTTTACGACTTTTATCGTTACTCCACGCTACCTTGCCCGCGAGTCGTGCCCGCCGTCGTCGTCGCGTCCTCTTCCCTCGCCAAACCCCGATGGAGCCTGAAAATGATCGGAAAACTACCGGAAAAAATTCGAGGAAAAGTGCATATATTTCACGTCTTGTCGCACTCTCGACTCGGTTCCGCGGGCTTTATCGGGCTTTCCTTGGACCGGCCCCTTGCGAGACGCCTCTGGGAGGCTGCAAGAAAGTCCCTCGAGTTCTCTCGGAGACTCCGAAATTATCAACCGCCAGAAATTCTCTCGAGATAAAGGTTTATGCCGCGTATCTGCGCGCACGTTTTAACAAAGTGCCCCCGAGTTTCAGTGAAATCGTTAAGGACGAAATGGTTGTACCTGTACTCTTTTTAAGTCTTATGGCGGTCTCTCTCGTTTGTCCCTAAAATGCCTCTGGAAGGCTGAATGGACTTTCCTCGGGAATTTTCCTGCTCGAAGTGAATTCTGATTAGAAGTTCTTTACACGTGTTTTGGATTGACTTTGTAATCGCTCTTTTGTACATTTGCAAAAGTTACGGGCACTCGGGGGAACCACCGAACGACGTCGACGACGCACGACTTGCGCGATCGCAGTTTCCACGATTTGCGATAATTGTATATCGATAATATAAGTAAGCGACGTTTCTCATCTCGACTTCATATACATATTTACGGATACGTATACATATGCATACGCGTACACCCTCGGAGCGTCCAAGCGTGCCCGCCTTTTTCATCGTAGAATACGAATATTGAAAGTAAAAGGAAAGGCCGCACTTTTGGACGCCCCGACGACTTATAAAAGCGAATTCCGAAACTCGTCGTTCGTTCCTGGGATGATCTTAATTTTCCTGTAATTCTCCACATCCGAGAAGATAACCGAAAACGCAAGAATTGAAACATTTACAGGCCCGAAACTTCTTACCCTCGTTAATCTCGTTAAAATTAGCATCGTTGTTTCGATGCGACGTTTCATATGACAGATGTCAAAGCGTTAATAAACTCTTCTGCATTTATGCCTCCCGACATTGTTTTTAGGCCTTTACCTAACAATCGTTGTTAATGAAATCGCTGGATGAGCGACGAGTCGCGAATCTCGGTTGACATTACGGAGCCCTTCGACCCACATGCGAAAAATCGCTTCCAAAATGGATGAACTAGTGTGCGAAGTGGCGAAAATTCGGAAATATCGCAAGACCCACGGTCATTGACAATTAGGCAGTGACAGACCCTCTAGGAATGCGATCTCGAACGAAAGTACCCATAAACGGGTCCGTAATTGAATTCGTCAAACTAGAGGGTCGACTGGTGGAGTCTTAATTATCGTTAACGAAATTCGAGGTGGCAAACTATGTCAAATTATGGCACACCGTGACAGTTCGTCTCTGCCGATTTGACAGGCATATCGAGTGCTGTCTTTTCGCCGACTAGGGAAGATCTGGGGGAACATGCAAAACCAAGAAATATCTAGGGTACTTCTGTGTCTATCGAGTGCGCACATGGGTCCGAGGAATCGCGTCGAACGACGCTAAAGTTGTACATACACACCTTTACTATTACCATTTACCATTGCGAAATTAACTCTGTAAGTTTCCCGATCTTTTCGGCCGCTCGACGCGCGGTTATTGGGCGACAATTACGAATGCGTCGAAGCACAGGATGCGACGAATGCATCGAACGCTTATCACTGTAAACGCTTCTTTTTCTCGAAGTTAACGTACATCCGCATCTAGGACCTTCGTTAAAAGTCCCCGTTAAAATTAACGAGCAGGGTTTTAATTATTTTATTATTTTATTATATTATTATATTAATTTAATTAACCACGTTATCCCTGCAAAGGCCACGTCCGTAAGTACTCCAAAAAGAATGATCCGTTCAAGAAGCGCTCCCAGAAGATACCAAAAATGAACCAAAAGAAAAAAAAATACAAACTTGAAGGTATGCAGTTCTTGTTTTCGGGATATCATTTGTTAATAATTCCTAAGGTTCTCTGGGTGTTTTCATCCAGGCGGCGGATATTATCAACGGCTAGTAATTTTTCTCAAAAATCATTCTTAGGACCCTTAAATTCAAGCTCACCTGTTCGTTATATTCTGGTCATGACACGAATGAGTGATTTTTAATTATTGTATACGTGTCTTATATTCATTATATCAATTATTATATATGTGTCGAGTGCTTAACTTGCGGTAAAAGACAAGTGCAACGGTTAGATTTGGCCAGGGGACTTTTAATGACTTTTTGCATCAATGCACCGTGCCGCAATCTTCTTGCCTCGATTATGGAAATTGGAAAATGGCGGGGAATACGTGTCATGAAAGAAGTACACGGTTAAAGTGTGTCTCATGGTATGTGTGATGACTCTGAGACGACATTCGAATTTTCGCTAGCTGCGTTTATCCAATGCTTTTCGAAAGCAAAAGTTCAAACTGTGATGAAAAGGTAGAAAAAAACGTAACGAGTCGGCGCATCACATGAGGTGAGAAAGGATCAACGATAGATTAATTTTTATCGTTATCCTGACTGCCTAGAAAGGAGTAGTAAATTCCTATCGTATCACCGAATTGCCGTATCGGGCGAGAACATTGTTGCACCCGTTGTCAATACGATTAAATCGCAACATTGATTACTGTATTTATTATCATCGTCATCGTCATTGTTCACTGCGGCGACGGTTATTGTTTTTTTATGATTACCACTATCGCTATAATATAATTGTTTACCGATTAACGAGGAAGTGCGATAAATAATTACTAAAAATTAATAAATTGGTCTTACTTATACATAATATAAATACACGATGACGACATATATAAATATATAAATATATATATACACACCTACACACACACACCCACATACACTCGACACACGGACACGCGTAATGATTAATTACTATGATAACATTACCGCTATTAAAAATAACACCCTACTCCCATTTGTTGTGAATGTTTACGTTGTTTTATGATATTCAGAATATTCTAAAAATAAAGTCTATGATTTCCATGTGGACTGTATCAATCAATCATTGCAACGTCCGATCCGCAACAAGTATATATAATTAATTGATGGGCACTAATATTTATTGATAATTGTTAACTTCATTCTTCACGGGCATTGGCCTCGCGTCTAACAGTGTTAATGTTTCCTGTTTCCATCCCTTTGAAAACTAGGCCACGTGATTTTCTTATCAAAATATTAGCCTCGGATAGTCTGCGTAAACGTGATTCATTACCCGCCGAGATTTGTGGACCCGGTCACGCGAAAATCGATGATGGTGTTTGCCGTGTCAACGAGCAAACTCGACTTAACTGCCTAATCGTGAGAGATAGCTAAGCCAGTGACCTTGTTCGGTCCCAAAAATGAAAGAAGCGCTAATTGGGTCATACGTTGATTTTCACCGAAATTTCCTTCCATGTACTGGCAGTATTCATTATTAAAAGCATTCGTTTTTGTTAAGGACTAAGGGGTAGAGACTAGAGGGGCTCTTGATGCTGAAAAAGCTCGGAAATTCAGTTTTAATTAGGATAGGCGACTTTCTCTAGCCATGCATGGCCAGTTTGGTCGTACAGAATTGGGTGTCGAGGGCACGACCCTCCATTTTTGGTATTTAGGTCAATGGTCGATCGTTGATACGCGTGTCAGAGATGAATTGGAAATTACGAGATTTGCGCAATCGCCGTCCCATGCTGCTGCCACCGGAAGTTTTCGGAAGACTTATGTACATATCGGCTATATCTGTCTAGGGTAAATTGCAGCGTGTATACCTTCTGTACTACCATCCAACGTTCCCCGTGAGCAATATGTACACGTTTTCTTTTATTTTTCTTCCTTCATTGGAAAAAGCAAATTATTTCCCCTTTTATATATTTAACACATTCGCGAACGCTGACGTGAATTCACGTCTTTTCAAGTTCCATTCCTGCAGCCCTCTGGTTTTGTACGTTAGCTTTCACCGTTTTTTGCCCCCAAGGGCGGCGCAACGAATTTCTGGTAGGGGCTCGCGCACTCGCGATGGCTGTGCCATCTACCAGTTTCCGTTGGCGGCTCACGTATTCGTGATGGTAATACCATGCGGCAGTTGGCGGTGGTAGCTTACCATTATGGCAATCGCCCAACTCATCTCTGCCAAATCAGAGATGAGTTGAGAGATTCACGGGAAGGATCGAGCGAACGCGTCCTGTACCACCTCCGGTGGAGGATGCAGACGGCTAATGCACTTGCCACCTGTTACAAATCTGGGCAGCCGGAGAACCGGCTGAAAAAATGAAGAACTCCTCACAAAAACTCCAGAACCCTGTA